TGGACATACTCATTGTTGCCGTCCGACACGGGCAAACAATGACTCCCCATCCATGCGGCATACTTTGCACTCTAGCCCTATTCTCGCGTGGAAGCCGAAGTGTTTCGGGCACAACCTTCGAGAGCCAAGGCTCGGCCGGCCATCGAGCACTTTGGTGCCATAGGAGCAGTTCGCACACTGCTTGCACTCCTCCTCGCGAATCCAGCCATTTGTGGAGTGTAGCTGTCGGAATATGTATATATATATATATATGTGTATATATATATATATGTGTGTGTGTGTGTCCCTGCAAGCTCGCATCAGAAAAGCGTGTTGCTTGTAATACTTAGATTGTGCTAAGTCCTGCGGGTGGAAACAACCTCTGTTCTTCTCCATGCCGACATCTTGACTGCTGACGCGCATTCCATGCGTCGACCAACTTCCTGTTCGCATATCTGGCACTGCAACAAAGTCCCGGTCCCAGTTGGCGCTTAGATCCATGCAGTCACCACCTCTGGGCACACGGCAAGCAACTTTGCAAAAGGAAACAAGCCGAGGAGTGACCAAGCAACCAACCAGCCAAGCAACCAAATTCCAATGGACTGGGTCAAAGGTTGGTTCTTGCGGCCGGGTCACAATGCGGCATGGGCTGGACTTGAAAGTTGCCCATGACCACTTCCACCCCTCCTCAGCATGCTTGGGGACAGAGAGTTGGGTCTGCCTGTGTTCCAGATGCATCTCGAACGTGGTGGTTTTGGTGAGAGCCAGTTTGCTGAGACGCAATGGCTCCAAGCAAAGGCCTACCTGACACCACACTCCAAACATCACCTAACTCGTCCACCTTGCGAATTCGTCTGATATCGCTCACACTGGTTCTCGGCTGCTCAGTGCTGTACCGTAATCACCGGAGTCACCTTCGGTGAACTCTGGCAAGATCTCGCGGCTCTTGTTCCTGAGAGTCGAATGGTGGCAGTTCCCGAGTTCCCATTCACCAGCATCTATATCATAACAGTCCCTACGAAGCATGGTATTGGCTGGCTGAAAAAAACGACTCAGCTATCAAACAAAACAACGCAAAGGCTTGCATTGGAAAGCTCGCTCCTGTCGGAACAGATTGTAGTGTTTGCTGATGAATTGTCAGCCCTCATTGCGTTGATGCGTTAGAACTGTGAGGCATACTTAGAGGCGAAGACTCAAGGTCGTCACGAGGCATGGAGGAAAACAGGACACGCTGCGAGTAGCAACATGCGCATACTTGAACTTCCTGAAAGAGAAGTAAGAAAGCATCAATCCTCAATGGATGAATGCTGCAACTTGCCTTTCTCATGCCATCAATTCACAGCTTTAGGTGGACAGGAGCTGGTGCGTCCTGTTAATAGAAAGAATGTGATTCTATGGCATGCTCCAAAACAGACAAAAGCTGCAGTTGGCACTCCACACCGGCGGCCGTTCAGCAGGCACGCTTTGATCCGAGGTGCCCATAGCCAATCGAGCCATCACTGCCCACCGGCTTCACACACATGCACCTGCAGTGGGGTCAAGTACTAAAGTGGATAGGATGCAAGAATTGGTTGTATTCATCAAAAACCAGAAGGTCGACCAGTCCCAACAAAGACAGCTAAGTCCTGTTGCTCAAGGGCCCTCCTGTGTTCAAAGCAGACTTTCATGAGATGCATTCAGCAAGATTTCCTTCTATCACCATCATGATCTGGTGGTATGTCTCAAACATGTTGTTTCCTCTGAGGTCCCCCTGACAAAACCTGCCCGGGTGTTGCCAATCAAGAAAAAGAAACAAGTTCCAAACGCGAAACGCAAAGGCCAAGCGGGGAAGCTCGTCAATTGGATTGATCTAACAAGTGTAGAGCTGCTTGACCTGTGCCGCGATGAGGCTTCTGCAAAGCTTTGGCTCCGCATTCGTGGCCCGAAACTGCTATCGACCAAAATCTGGAGAGCATCCATCGGAATCCCTTAAATGTCTTGACAAGCGCGCCGACCTGAACTCAAAGGGTTCTGTTGACAAACGGAGGATCCTTCCCTCAACGCCAGCGATCCTCTCCATTGATCATCAACGATCCTCTCCAAGGCGCTTGTCCCCTTGGCTGCCGCAGGGAGTCTTTGGCCCCACCTGAAATGGCCGTGGCTCAAATACATGTGCCAAAGTGGAACCTTGGTAAATGGAATCAAAGACTAAAACCGCGTAACCCTAGATCTTAAATTTTGAGCCACAGCCAAGTGTCTGAAATGCCCATTTCAATCCGGTGCGGCTGTTTCATGCTTGCAGCAAAAGCAAGCTTGCAAATGTTTGAATGGAATGGGGGGACTTGTTTACACAACTTGGCTCACAACAGCTCTTTCTCTCTCAATGCCCCAAAAAAGCTCCAGAGATTCTCACAGGCAACATCCGTAAAGAACCTTGTTGGGGCTGCATGTTGGTTGGACAGGAAGCAAACCACCGAGCCAGCAAAGCAGTCTGCCCGGAAACAGGACTGCCAGAGACTTCCAACAAGCATTCCTCGGCTTTCCTCTCTGCTCACTTTTGACCAGAGCAAAAAATGCCTCAGCCGATCACCGGCCCAATGGCCCATGGCCCCGCACCAGCAGAGAGTCTTGGGACCAGCACATGCCTGCGAGTCAGCTGCCAACTGCATTTGTGTGGGAGAGTGGACCAGTCTGCCAGGGCCACGGTCCCAAGCCACCTGTTCATTGCAAATAGCATGGCCATGAAGTTCAATTGTGGCCTTTTTGGTGGACATCATTTGGGTGGGAATTTAGGTCCACAACCACTTTCCAGGCTCTAGCTGCTCCAGCTAATCACTAAGCATTGCTGGCCACACTCAACAGTGTGAGTTGCAAGGCTTGCAAACAGAAATGCACACTTCCCGAACAGCGAAGCATAAATCCTTGAACAAACACTCCATCCTGGAGGTCTCAGCATACACATCGCCTCCTGCATTTTGATTGATACAGCCAACGAAAGCAAACACCAATGAATGCGCACTCTTAAACGATGCGTTCCAGCCATGCTCTCCGATTTAGAGAGTATTTGCAGCCTAATGACTAGTGAATATTAGTGCCCGTTGTTGCTATGGGATCATTCCCTGCCTGCTGATGCTTCTTCCCCTGCGGAGGCAACATCAAGCCATCACAGCACCCTCTGCACGTACTGACTTCACTTTCTGAAGGCTATGCCTTGCTTCAAAAGCGAACAAGGGACATCGTTGCAACGAGGAACCTCGTCTCTTCAAGGTTTCCGTGAGGGCGTATGTACTGCCTTCGACCTGCCCGCCTGGCTTGGGTGGCTTGCACTTGCCTTCGGCTGTCATGTTGCCTGCCAGGCAAACACGAGCTGGACTGATCCGTCTCCCTTGGAACCTGTGGAATTCTCTTGAAACGAATTGACCGAAACAAAGGTGTCAGCCTAAGTCAAAAATCCACACTGCACAGCCATCAATCTTTCACAAGGCTCCCACCTTTTCAGTCAATCCCGCAACCACACACCTCGCACTCCCATGTCATGCACCTGGCCTGCATGGGGGCATACGTCAAAATGAAAGAGACAGGCAACGGTTCGGGCTGGCGTCCCTTCGACATATCCTCTCCTTCAACTCTGCTTGGATGGAATCGAGTCCGGGCCTAGGGCAGGGCAGCCCCATTCCCAAACATCCCGCTGCTCGAAGCGGGGCGGCAGAATGGGAGTGGTGACGCGCTCGTACTCGCCTAAGTCGCTATTCCGAGTTCACTCATGTGTGCTCCCCTGCTAATCCTCAGGTTGGCAGCATGAAAGAAGAGGGCCGCCCAGGCCTCCAACTGAGTTTCTGGGAGGGGGGTGCGACAGGAGCCCTTTTTGTTGTACTTCTTAAAGTCAGCAGATACACCAAGCTCAGCAGACCGTCACATCGGAATCTAAAAAAAAAGAAAGCGCAGCCTCCTCTGCGAAAAGAAAGCTCACGCGTATGGCCAGTAGGGTCCTCTCTCTTGCAGTTCTGACACGTGTCCAAGCACGCAAAGCTTCAGGGCCGTGCCATTGTGCTCCATGCCAAACTCACTGATGAGAGACCTCAAATGCCGCAAATCTGGACATCTGAATCGCGTATTGGGCCCAGGGTTTTTACGCTTCTCCTGTAGGCTGAGCGTCTCTTGCAAGGCTAAACAACTTGGCTAGAGCAGATTCAAGCCTTGCCAGTACTTAGTCCAACCCAACCTTTCATCGTTTCAATACAACCAGACAGCATCAAAAGGCGTGCGAATGGCGGCTCCTGAGCGCGAACATCAAACCAGCCTGTTACTCTTGCAAGTATCACCACCAGGAGCCTCGCACAGTACGCTGCTTAATCTCAGAAACAGCGACGTGCGGGACCCTTCAAGCGCATGCACCCAGGTATTTTTCAAGCCAAGTACAAGCCTATGCTTCTTGCCAGAGCACGAGCTCATCCTACTTAAGATGATGGGGTGAAAATGACAGAAAAATGCCGCTGGATTTTTTTCCGGCCCACGGTTGATGTCAAAACTGTGACTTCGTTAAGGCGGCAGCATCATTTGCATGCCAAAGAAGTTCAGAAAAAGGGGCCTTTTCTGTTGGTCACCCTGCCAGCGTTTTGGAGCTCCAAAGAGAACATGTTGATCTGGAAAAAAATGTGGGGTATTCTGATGTAGTGCTTTTAAAGACCCCTCCGAATGATTGCCAACGTTCTTTGCAAATGGACAGACAGGGATCCCTTTTGACAATGGACGAGCCCTGAGATGTGCCTGGAAGTTGTACATCCAACTCACTGTCAATCTGGCCAACAGATGGGGCTAAGGAATATTATTCCTCGGATTAGCCCAACGACAAAAAAGAAGGTCCTACAAAAATTGCACATGCGCACGCGTGTGACGGCGGGTGCGCTTACCATCTGCCAGGCGTGTGCAGGCATGCCACGGCGTGCGTGGGCTGGTCTTCGTCTCAAAGACCCACGTTTGGTGGATCGATAAAAAAATCCGCTTGCAGAAACATGCGCCGGAATTCTGAAAGTCTGCCAGGGACAAACCTCTTGCCAAAGCGAAGGCAGGTCTCAGGCAATGGATTCTCTTGGTTTTCTGCTCGCCGCCAGGACTCACACAACAAATAGAAATCAATGGTCTTATGGGTGTGCTTCATCTGAGACATCGCAGTGGCACATTTGCCTGCTCTCACATTCAGATTGCCCATAACGTCTAAGCGCAGATGGCAAACTTGCCATTTCGACATTTTGGCCCTGAAAAATCGGACTTCACGTAAGTCCCAGCCTGCCTATTTGTTGCATCTCTTGGGGCCCTGCATGCAGCGAAAGCCCGGCGCGCATCCAACGTTCTCGGAGACCTTGACAGCGGGCCTCGAGAACATGGATCTGGCACCGTCAACATGTCTCGCAACAAATAGGATTTCGCTGGCATCCAATCTACTTGTTGAAGCCACCAGTGGAAAGAAACCGTGGCCATTTCAAGCTGGACAAAGCCCATGTGACGCCATCTCGCCAAGCGGCTTCTCTGCGGCGCCTGCGGCGCCTGGCGCCGCCGCCTGGCGCATAGACCGCAAAAAGGCCTTTCATAGAAAGGCAGTTCCCCTGGGTTTCAGCAAATTGATTTCACACATCCTCGGTCTCGGACTTTTAGGACTTTCGCACAGGGGCTAAGCATACGGAGCTGGCACTGGAGCACAAGAACGGACAGACTTGTCCCACCAGCCTCAAAGCTGGACAAGTTCGCACCTTAGGCCAGCCACAAATACACTGTCAGTTGCTTGACGGACATTTAAGTCCATTTTTCCCCTGGCATGGGATCTCTTGGATGCGAAACATCAAGAGTTGCTTGGACCCCTTGCATTTGCTGGTTGGACCCCACAAAGCAAAAGCCAAGATGCCCAGGTCATGGAGCAAGCTGCGGACAGCCGACATTAGCACTCCGGATCCAGGTTTCTACATTTGACGTGGCTTCCAACGTTTTGTGCAAGCACATCCCCCATTTAAGGAAAGGCAACATCTTGATGCTCCAAGGATGTTGGACGTGGGGCCGTTTTTGACCCGCAACATTGGTTGAAGACTCCCATTGCCCTGTAAAAAACACATTGTCGAAATCTGCAAAGCTGTAACGATCTTGAACACTTGCGCCAACATGGCCCATTCCTGACACCCTGCTACAAGCCTGTTTGCTACGGCGTGTTCACGCCATTCTTGCGAAATGCGTTCAAATTGCGTTGCGAACACAGCGCGACGCAATCCAGCTTTCATACCTTTCGAGCACTCTCAAGACGTGCGGCTTGGCTGAATGACCCGCAGTCCAACACAGTTTTCTCACACAATGCTGTGACCAGGCCTGTAACCAGGTCCAGGGGTACATCGGTGTGCGCTTGCCATGAAACAAACTGTACACGACCAGCTGAAAAAGTCCAGCCATGAATTTGTCAAACAACCCACATTACCACAGCCCACAAAGCAGGCCAAATGCACAAAACTGTACCAACTCAGAGCCACAAAGCAAAAATGACCACGTTCTCTAAACAGCAGGCCCACATCATTTGACACGCTATTCATGCAAAACTTCGGGAGGCTCCAAGGCATGAAAAACATGCACCAGCCAAGGAAATTTCATATGGCTTGTATAGCGAAACAACACATTTCACAGACACAATCAACATTCAAATGAACGAAAACCAATGAATCGCTAAACAACTAATGTCAGACAACGAACACAATGAAACTCAAACGTGTTTAAAGCATCTGGACATGCATGGCTGGGTTGCACAACACGCAGACCTCAAACAAACTAAAAAAACAAGCAAACAAACAAACAAACAAACAAACAAACAAACAAACAAACTTACAAACAAGCAAACAAACCATGTCCACACACTTTCAAGATTTCCGGTCTTTTGCCAATTTTCGTGTCATTTACTTCGCTCGGTCGTGTCCCCACGCTGCACGCTTCTTTACAACGTCACAAACCAAAACGCTGGCAGAGCTGGAGGAAAAAAAAGTCATCCAAGTTTCAATGCAATGTTTGGCGGCTCCACTCCTCAGCCTCTTATCCCGCTTCTAACTGTAAACAAAAAAGAATCTGTGTTCTCTGTTGCGAACTAGCAAGTTAACCTGTTGCACTGCTCCAAGCTTGAACCCAAACAACTCTCACAAAAGAGAACCCACGAAGCGAGAAGAGCGCGCACTCCTGTTTAATCCGGTTGGTGGAAAGTGCACTGCTATAGGGCACGCGGTGCACCTAGAGCAGGGGGCATGTTCACCTCTTCTGCAGTGTTTCCCACGCAACCCCGGTGAGGCAACGCTTGGTGACCGGCTCCCCCCTCTTCGCCTGTCAGGTTGTCAAGGACAGACAACTCAAAACATTGGTCTTGAGTGGCATGCGAAACCTCAGTGTTACCAGCGCTCGTTGTTCGCCTGTCACTTGCCTAGCAGACGTTCTGGCCGCCAGGGCGCATCGATAGGGCACAGTGTTGGACCTCTACCAGCCTGTGCAAGACTGGCAGGGCTGAATCGCACGCTGTCCGCAGGGCGGTTGTGAAAACGTTTGTTTTGTCACCTGCGCGCCTTGGGGCAATTGCCATCGGTCACGAAAGAAGATGTACATCGGATATACTGGAGAAGTGAGACAGAGTGAGACATAGATGCCACATGAACGAAACGCACTCAAATCCGCGGGGGCACATTTGCGCATCGTTAACCCCCACGAATGGCCTTGCGGATAGAGCAAAAGGCGCAATAGTGAGACGAAAAAGCCCGACGAGATGAAAAGCATGAGGATCCAAAAAATCACCCAAGGGCAAAAATGCCTCAGTGACAAGCTGAGACAAGACATGCACGAGGAATTGCAGCGCACAGGCATCTCCTGTAAGCACTGAAGCGGAATTTAAACACAGCATGCATGAATTATGGCAACGGGTGCGCCACGGCGTCAGCCCGACATGAATCCTGCAGCACTCCAACAAGAGTGCATACACGGTTGCAGAGTGGATTGGGAAGCCTCCGCACGCGGCCGAAGGGCCTCAATGACACAGTGGCACTAAGCGGCGGGATCACCGTAACAAGAGTCAAGAGACCAAGCAGGGCTCGAGACTACAAGGCTCCACCAACGCTGCAGCCAGTTTAGCATCTGTGCGGCCTGATGAAGGTGAGAGTGCGCGGCGCTACGTCCACCTCACCGAACCCAAGGCAACCCTCACAGAGTGAAGCAAAAGATCAGGCCTTGCTTGCATGTCACACGGGCATCACACAGCTCCAGCGACGTTTCAACCAAGGCATTGGAATGAAGCATTGGGACGCTCAGGCACAGCGGGGCTGGCACTGAGACGAACCGAGCATTAACACCAAGGTATGACTAGAAAATAGAAAGACCACAGGAACAGAGCAACTAACATGCAGGCAACAGAGCTTGTCCCGAAGTGCTGGGACGCTCACTGGCATGACACCTGTGTGAGCTCTACAATCATGTCCCTGAAATCAAGATGCTCATGCGCATCACCCAAGTTGGAGCTCTCCAAGCACGTTACGGAGGTCAAAAGAGGATCACCTGCGTTGCATCAAAACTCATTAGGGCAATATGTTTCGGAAAGCGCGCATCGGAGCGCACTAGATGTAAGCAGCGGAGCGCTCAGGCACAGCGGGGCTGGCACTGAGACAAACCGCGCAGTTGGCAACCCAGATACATGCCAAAGCCACAGGCCAGGAGTGCAAACCAGACTCACATGTAACAAGTGGCACAGAGGGGATATCCAGGGCACCTGCATGTGCAGCGCTGAGTGCTGACCATGAGACCAGGCAGGGCCCGATACTACGTGGTCCGCACCTCCCCACGCACGGTAAACAAAAAGGAACGATCAAGTTAAGGCATGTTGCACTGCTCCTAGCTTGAACCCAAACATGAACACCCAAAAGAACAAAGCAAGTCCGAAGCGGCCGCATGGTGCGCCTGGAACAGGAGGTGCGTTGACCCCCCGTGAAACTAAAAAGGCAAGACAATGCGTGTCCTTGCAAATGAATGCAGTGCTTGCAGGGCGTGGCACGCGTGCCCACGCCCAACGGTCCGGAGACCGAATGGTCCGGAGACCAGAGTTGGTCCGCAGACCAGAGTTGGTCCGGAGACCTGGTCCGGAGACCAAGCGGTCCTGAGACCACCAACGAAAGTGCAGAGCGACTGCGACCTATGCTTGCAGAGCCTTGTATAAGGCAGTGCAGGGTGGGTGGGTGGGTTTCAAATGAAACCGCAAGTTTGGGTCAAGGCTAGGAGCAAAACGGCCACCGCGTAGTTCGATTCACAACATGCCCTAAACACAAGGGAAAAGAAACCCTAAGCAACGTCGCATGCTTGCGGCATCGCATCTGGGAACAGAGGCCATCCTTCAACGTCGCTTGCGGCCTCCCATACCGCTCGGCCCACCAGACGGTGCCTGAAGGGCGCGCACGAGGTTAGTAAGTGCGGCCACGCAGAAAGGCTTCTGTAACTGTGCCTCCGCTTTTGTTGCGAGCGATAAGCTCTTGCAACGTGATGCCAGCGGGCGCGACATGAAAGCTGTCAACTGACGGCAAAATGACATCGGCAGCCTCCAGATCCAGCACAGGAGGAGTGGCAAGCGCCGCAGACATCCAGCGTTGCGAGGACACGCTAGACCTGCTGGCAAATTCTGCAAAGGCTTGCCCTTCAGCGGGGAGGATCCAGCTGCCATCGGCCCACCCAGGCCACAGTACTCCTGGACATCAAACGTGAGGCCACGCTGGTTACCGCTGGAGGAGCTGGAGGCGAAACGGTTCAACCTCGGAGAAGCACGGAGGCTCATACGGAGATCGAAGGCTGCCAGCAGCAGGTGTGGAGCCGGCTCCAGCCAAAAAAGAGCAACCAGACAATGAGGAATTGGCAAATTGAATCATAGCAAGTGTTGCGGGAAAGGCTGCCCAGCTTGCAGGCAGAATATTGGCCTGATTTTGAGTGGCATGGAAAAGGCCATTGTGAGCTGCTACAGGGTAAGTGCTGTAAGTCGTCCCGGGTTGATCTAAGTCGTCCCTGGCGAGTGTGCCCGTTGTGCTTGTGGATGTAAAGATAGTTGTCTCACGCGTGTCATTCTCTGAAATTCTGTGCTGCGCGCGTGCAAAATGTTCATTGGGATGAGGGCACGGCTCTCCCGGCGCTCGCGCGGCACTCGCGCAGAGTCGCGCGGCGCTCGCGCCGGCAGCCCTTTTGTCGGGTGTTCCGGGGGAACCAACAGAAAAACACTATTTATGTTTGAAGGATAGGAACCCTTTAATTGCAGTGTGCCCAATAGGGTTTTGCCCGGGAAAAGCATTCAACATGAACCCAAACAAGTGAGTTTGGCAACATCGCCCTTCCAGTTCTGTGCCCATTGTGTTTGGCGCAGAATGGGGTGACTTAAAACGCATGGGGTGACTTAAACGGATATGCGTAGTTCCAAGCGGCTGGGGATGGCTGGGGTGACTTAACGCGACGTGGGGTGACTTACGACGCCCGCTTGTAGAGAGCTTGCGTTTCGACCCTAGAAGTTCTAATTGTATTTCTGGCAGTAGTGTTAACCATTGTCCAATGACATTTATGTCAATCTGAAAGCTTCGGGGGAGAAAGGTCTTTGGTTTGTATTTGCTGCTGCTTTCAGGTTTCAAGCCATAATTCTTAGCCGCCCAACTTGGCACACTGGGGCACCAGAGAAACATTCACGCCGGATGTTGATATGGCAAGGCGAAGCAGAGCTGGCAAGTCATCTCGGGCATTGATGCAGACACTCTCAGAGGGTGACCCACCAAGGGGTTCGGATACTGAAATGTCAGATGATGTGGAGATGGTTTTGGAGCAGCTTGACTTTATGGAAGTCTTTTCCCCGCCTTGTGTTTTATTTCCAATCGCCGGGGGTTGAGTGCTGATGCGCAGTGTTCCATGGACCTCACCCAGGGTGATGACTTTTTGACAATTGAATCCAGA